AAACCCTGGCACACAGGTGAAGATATTACCGTAGAATTGTACGCCCCACAGGGTTGAAAGATGATGTAAATAACAGTATTTTATCCGGATGATTCAAAGGGTTTCATTACCATAGCGCAGACAGGGGTGTGGTGCCTGGCACCGTACCCTCGCAGTACCCAATGATTCTGCCGCCGGAAGTATCACGTCTTAGCCAGCCGGTGTCCCTCGCAACGTGAGCGGGTAAATACATAAAGAACAATATAGGGAAGAGCGCTTGAGCCAGAAGAAGCGTAGCATGAATTGAATTAAGTTAGTCTCTGGACTGGCGTTTCTACTGGTCTCTCGGAATGGGTTCCCATAGTTAACAAAACCCTAGCCTTGGGATATATACATCCCACTTACCTCGATGCGATAGGGGCTCCCATAGTTAACGAAACCCTAACCTACTGGGATATATACATCCCATTTACCCCTATGGGATAAGGTCGGAGCAGTAGCGAGTATGTTAATGGGAACTAAAAATAGGTGGGCTGCACTGCTGGTTCAAAGTAATTAGGCAGCAGAGAATTGGGTTGGGGGCCGGCTCTAGTGGCTGATCAACTAAGGCTTTAGGCTGACCCAGCGCGGCCCCCACTCTAAGTCTGCCTTGCGTATTGCCTTGCACACTCCCCTATCTAATTCTTTCAGTCCCACTAGATAAAGAGCTTAGTTGTAGCTTTTGGACAATTACCTACAGCACCTCTCCTTCGCCTAGATTGACAAAAAAAGACATATATTCACCCGCACCTACAAATCCTCAGTCACCACGCCAAATGAAGACCCGAGGCCAAAAACGCCTAGCTGAGGAAGCAGATACCTTCGCGCCCAAGAAGCGCAAATGCGAAGAAATGCCGCAAAATTTGGTGAGTGAAACTTCATGTGCCAAAGTACTACCGTGATCTATTATCTCTGATACAGTGGACAGAAGTCAACTATCAAGGCTCTACCAGACCAGCTACTACGGATGATATTCAATCATTTGGAAGTTGAACCTCTCAGAAACCTCTGCTACGTATCGCATAGATACAAGGAAATGGCACAGCCGCTCATATTTGAGAATCTTGATTGGGGGCTGTACGATCAACGGGGCTTGTGGACACGGTTGGAATTGCTTGCAGACGCATACACTAACGCTAACTCGTACTCGGTGGATCGGATGCGCTAGTTTAACAATTCAATCATGAATTCCATACAATCGGCTTCCACTGGTTGCAATATATCCGGGTTAGGGTCGGGACCCTCGGTAGGGATCGGCTCGGGCCGGTCCTTGTGACACTCGGCGGAATACTATAATGCGTCCCACGCCTCGCGTTGCCGTTGACTAAACCGGTATACCGGACTATTCCAATTATGCGGAACCTAGGTACGGGCGAAAAATATCAAAATACGGCGCTATAGGTCGACGTATCGCTCTAACTTATCGTCCGCCTTTATATATACCTATAATAGCTTCGACGAGATCTTCTCTATATCGGTACGGGCGGCTTCAATCCGTAATAAATATCCTATCCGTTTAGTGATATTCTGGCTTTTGCTAGCCACACGCAATATAGCATCCTAAATCACTCGCGCGGTCCCTTCGTCACCCTCCGCTTCGTCCGTGGGGCTTTCGGTATATATCCGTAATTCCTTAGGCTTACGGCCGCGTAAATATATCGCCTATCCCGTTTGGTCTAACTATAGATTAGCTTCGTCGATAGCCCTAGGCTAGATCTCGTATTCTAACTATAGTTTCCGCGTAAACGCCTCTCGTAACCGGTCCACGGCTTCGGCGACTTACGTAGCCTAAGGCGGCGGGGCTTCGGGCTTATACTAGGGACTGGGCTAGCGAACCTCGATATAATATGACCCTAATCTACAGGGAAAAACCGCTAGTATACGACTCGCTTAGCTCGTTCCTCTTAGTTCTGCTTACCTATAGCGACCTCGGATAGTTATAGCTTACCCCTATAGCCGTACGCGGAAAATTAATGCTCCCTCGACTAATATACTCGTAAACTGTCCCGACTGCGGTAAATCTGCCGGCAAAATTAGCACTATAACCTATCTTAGTAAATAGGTAATATCGGAATAGGATAGTCTATACTCGTAGGGAATAAATTGCTCTCTTCCTCGACGCTATCCTATTTATCGGTAGATCGGATAATATCTACTACTTACTCTGTAATACCTTTGCGGACACAGTGCTTACCCTTAGGGTTAGTTAAATAACGGATAATCTCCCTAGGCTTCACTCTATACTCGCACTAACGATAAATAGTAACTCCCCACTACTTATTATAAATAAAATACTAGTCGGCAATAGTATACTCCGCTAGTTAACTTATATTAAATATAAATATATATATCGTGATACGGAATATACGACCGGATATACGCTAGGGAAACCCTATCGCTAGAAATTAGTCGGATATTAATAAAATTGAAACTGGGAACTAATCGTAACCCCTAAACAACTCGACTAACTCTTAAAATAGATCTAACCAATAGTGCGTATATAACGAATCGTATAGTGGTGGGTAATAGGGTTTTGATAATGTTAGTGATAGCGCGGCCGACCGTACCCTATCAAAATAATTCCCCGACTTTGAACCCCTATAACTACCTCTTATAATTATTTAATAGCCTTATAACTTAGGATAATAAATATTTGACTATTTAATTAAAATATCTCAAAATTTAAACGGAAAAAACCTACGGGAACATAACTATAATGGCACCCTGAAACTAACTATAATCTGCCCCCTCGGGAAACCCTAAGCCTATATAAAAAAATGCTGACTAAACTATAATGCGCCTTATTACAGTTCACCCTATAGGATAGAACCAATGGGAATAAGAAGGAAGAAGGAGAAGAAGAAGAAGAAGAAGAAGAAGGGTTATTACAAGACTATAATAATAGGGGGCCGCGACACCTACCGCGTCACGCGGTGAGGCGACCGCGACGCGGCGACAGAGGAGGAAAAGAGGCAGCTAAACCCTATTCCTAGTTAATCTAGCTAGTTAGTTATACGAAGTGATCTAGGCACATACTACTAAGGTAAGCTTAGGGCCATAAAGGGAATGGCAGGCGGGCGGGCGGTAAGGGAAAATCAAAATCGGAGGCCAGTAAGGCCGCTAACTAATCCGGGGCGGAGAAAATCGACTATATATAGGGTGGTTCACGGACTAGGGAGTAGGGTTAGGGGCTAAGTGAGGGGTTAGGTGCCTAGGGCCCGCAAACCGTGCCCTTAGGGCTAGTGAAGTAGATGAAAATTTACGTAAGTGCTGATAAATAAACTGTATATAAATCAGTGTGCAGAGAAAGGTATTTTGGGCAAGGGACAGATACCTATCTTATTAAGACTGCTAATAGCTAGTAAAGCAGTTTGAAAGTACTAAGTGAGCGTGATAGTGATATGCTTAGGCATTGATCATTTTTCCTGCATATGTATCACATTATCGCCTAAGGCTTAAGCTAACGTATATAAGGAGGTTAAGTGTTGGCGTTCTTGGCATTGGATTTTTTTCTAATGCTAAGGCGGAGTCAATTAGTTATTCAAACCATTTTAATTAACTATCGTTTGATTATAATAAGGTTCCTATCGGTTTTCAGCGCCAAAAATTTAACAGGTTTCACTACTTAACAGTAATTAAGATTCCGATTTGATTCGAGTCACCGAAATTCGCGAACTTCGAATAGTTCGACCGTGCGGAGCAGTACAGATACGCGTTTGCGGTCCCGAAGGATCGCAAGCTACACCTTCGTTACGCTATCGAGTTAACCTCGAAGTGTCCTCCGAGCTCTACTCCGCTACGACACGGCTAGTGGTCCGGGTGTTCAAGATTAAGTGGGTCCTAGGAATATACTGAACCCGTGCCTCTTAAAGAATTAAAGCACCCGTTAGTGTGGCTATGTCACCTAATAATAGGGCCAAAACTCTTAGCTATAAATAAGTAAATATCTCCCTCTCAACCTCTCGAATAGTATTTATTTCCTAAGTTTGGATTCCTCTCCCCTTGCTAGCGCCTACCGCGCGTAGTATATACCGATAGATTACCTTAGCATTACCACTAGCGTAAAACCCTTTATAGTACCGCGTGACTAATGCCACTAATCCGTCTTCGATAAATATATTGCGCTATCCTCCGGCCGGCGTATTCCGATACCGAATTCTCAATAACTCGGGCCCTCGCGGGGGCTAATCGCTATACTAATACACATAACTAATATTAGTGGTTCCCCTCCTGTGCCTCTTAGGCTAAAAGCTCGTTATCAGATAACCGCTATACCGTCAATGTCTCCACATACTAGTGGGCTACTATCTATATCATATTTTTTCGCTAGGGCTTCACGGGACCTCCGATAGGGAATTTCAATTATTATCTATGTTAGACTATATTACGTAAGATAACTAATATATCCTTTACTTTATTAAATTAACGCGATAGTTAAAAGCAGATACTGTAAATTATCTCTAACACTAGATTTCTCAGTAATCAAAGTCAAAGTCTGCTAAATCCGTAAATAATCTATTCGCGTGCCTTTTTCATTAAATTAGATTTGCGGCGACCTTATTTTTGACGCATTAATTTTCTTTTCGAAGAAGAGCCATTTAAATAAGGAGGGCCTATAGTCGCTATCTCCCAGTTTGTAGCCTAAAATATTCCCCGGGACTGTAGAATTGGACGTGCTAAAAAGTAGAGTTGAAGAGGGTGCTCTTATAGTCGTAGGCTCGTTGGCCAGGGAGTAGCTTTCAAAGAACGTCAAACGTTATGAAAGTGCAAAAAGCGCAAAAGCGTAAAAGTGCAATAGCGGCTTTTGAACACGTAGCAGGCCACGGTTATTCGAGCCAAAAGCGTGGCTAAAAACTAGACAGAAAGCTACTATGTTGTTTCAGTTCGTAGGTGAAACGGCGCACTTAGCAGGTAATACGTGGGAATTTATTAGGCCTTTAGGTCATAGTATGGGAGTGGCAACTTAATACCACGGCTATTTCAATATTGTGCTGCGCCGAAATTAGATATCTTATCGTTAGCGTAACTATCGTGCCATAAATATTGTGAGTGAGTCGGTCGAATAGCACACAAAAATATAGTGCTCAAATTTTTGAAAACGAAATATAAGAGACCTAGATTTTGGCACCTTAATCTTAGCTTTTTTAAAAATTGGCGAGTTTTAAATTTACTAAGACACAATATTAGCCCCTTTATAATTATTTATAAGGCTAAAATTATAGTGGCAATAATATTCGAGTGCTTTAAATTTACAAAGATATAATATTAGGTCTGTTATAATTATTTCATAAGGCTAAAATTAATCTAGGTGAAAATTATGGAGGCAATAATATTAAAGTCGTTCGGCGTTAGCCGGAGATAAGGAGGTGCTAAGGGTCTAAGAAGGGTTCTCTAGGACTCCTTTCTCTACCTTAGAGTAGGAAGACCGAGTAGTCTAGAGCTTCAAGGAGTAGTTAAGCTAGCCAATAATATCTCGCATTTGCCATCCCTGTTTGGGTTGGTAATCAGTGAGTCTCCATATGTAGTCTTCTTCCATACGGAGCCTTCTTCCTCACGGAGCCTTCTTCCATACGGAGCTCTCTTCCATACGGAGCTCTCTTCTATACGGAGCCTTCTTCCTTACGGAGCCCTCTTCCGTCTGGGGAACTGCACATAGAAAATTACCTCATATAAAATTCATTATTAGACCGCCAATCACAGCTATATTCTCAGTAAAGTAAATTAAACTATTAGGATAATGGTTGCATAAAATCCCTGACCGAGGATAGGAAAAACAAAGGTTCTTTCTGGTGAGAGTTTCGCTTCGGTCTTATGACTTCATATAGGTTATTGCGGTGTATCTTTATCAACCTGCGGTAGGTCCTGGTCTGTCACTAGTATTAGGGCTAGATAGTAGGAGTTCTTAATAGGTCAGTCATCTTTTCATCAGAGCCATAGTTTGAGACATACTAATTGCGAGCTAAGGAAAGCCCAAAATCCCGAAGTATCCGCTAATAAAATATGTACCTGGCCCGTCTCTCGGATACGAATTCCCACGCATATATCTTCGCTACACATCCTGCTATATTCGCATACCTTTTTTATCAGACTTATTTTACGACGGCATTGTTTTTGCCGCATTAACTTTCTTTTCGAAACGACATCCTTAGGCCTGGTAGCCTTGATAGCGGCCATTAAGCGCGTTACCTTGATATCTGGAGGTACTTTAGGAGTAGAGAAGCCTATATAGATAGCAGGGACTCTTATAAAACTTAGGTCCGCTAATGGAAAGGGGCCCAATAAATATAAATGTTATTGCACGAAGGGGAGTCTTCAATCATAGAACGCGAAAAGGCCACGATATTCCTTAAAGTATTACACGAAATCGGTCCTTTGTCTGTTGAACTTATAAAGGCTGCCCCGTAAGACTGGAAGGGCAACAATTACTAGTGTTATTTGCAGTCATCAAATAGGTGCGACGTGAAACAACCGTACTTTTAACGTTATTAACATATTGCCCGCCATACCCTTTACGTGTCTGCAACGTCACTACAGCATACTTTTAGCACTAGCAAATCCTTAAGCCGTCGGGCAAATGAATTTATCAATCAGTTAACGCAAAAAAAAAGTTTCGGGCGGTGCCTAGGTATTAGGAAATGCGTGTCATTTGGGGCGGAAGATGTTGTATAGCTAATATTTAATGAACACCTTATGTCTTTCACTGTGTTTAAATTAAATATGTACGAATTAATTAGGTCTATTATGCTTTTTGGCTATTCTGTGCACCCTCAACGGAAAGCTATTGTGATTATATATATAACCGGGCATAATGATATGTTAAGACGCTAGAGAGAGGCAATAAAATGTATGCCTGCGATTAAGAGACTAAAACCCGATCTACCGGTCCTAGGAGATAGTGTCGTCGATCAGTTTGCAGATATAGTGTGGGTAACAGAAAGAAGGGGCCATACATAACCGGGCAAAAAAACAAATTGGAGGCATTATGTTGATACACGATAAAATATAACGGTTTAGAGTTGACTGAATAATTAGTAGCCTGCTAAGAGTTAAAAGGTCAACTAACGGGCGAGAGAAGATTTGCGGCCAGTGATTAAACAATTGATTGTCGCAGAAATCTGACTGCAAAAAGAAAAAAAAACTAATTAATTCATTTATCTTTTCAATAAACATAGTGAAAGAAGTGAGGTATTTATTATGTATGATTGGCTAGGGAACATACTCCACTCTATCAGGCGAACTTCCTAATACCCAGGCACCCCCTAAGTCTGGTATAAGAATTATTTCATCCTACCAACCTAGAAAAAATCCTCTATGGCATACCCACTTTTATGCCAGATTCTATAGGCATCAAATCCAAGCCAGTAGTTCTCCATACAGTACGGAAGGGGGCTGAGATTTAAGGTAGAGAGTGCCGCTTAGCTAATAATATTTAATGATTAGCCCTTCTTTCTGTTGCCGCTCTTATTGCCCGCGTTCTAAAATTTGTATTTCTAACTAGACACACATCGAGTGACCCAAAGCCAACTATATAATAAATCTATGGAATTATGTCCACGCAGGTCCCAGGCCTAGAGATATGCGTCTGTGGTTGGGGCGCTGCGACCGCAAGGCCTTAGTTCTAGGCCCCGTGATCCAGAATAGTTGACTTAAGGCCAATTACGGACAGCCGTAGACGTAGGTCTATATTCAGCACTCCTTTACTCCTTGGCAATCAGCTATATAGCCGTCTTATATAGGTAGATGGTAGCTTAGTGTCGATTTTACGGAGGTGGCTGACCTTAGTGGAGGCTATCTATTCTTGCTCCCACTGAGAGTGGGTGCAGTCGCGAATAAATACTTTCTCCTTAGAGAAAAACGGACAAAATAGGGCTGTCTTACCTAAGTCCGCTAGTTTTTTGGTAAGCCGATCTGCTGCTTCGTTTCCGGGGCCGTCTCAATATCCGGGCATCCACTGGAGCCGGGGGATGATTCTGTTTGCTTTGACCTCTGGGAGAGTATAAGAGTAGGTAATGGGAGAGCGCTTTATCATACGATCTGCCGGTTCTGAATGCCCCTAGACCCCCCCGGTCTCGTTATTTGAGCTCGATATAATAGTTAGAATTGGCACTAGAACTGGCCCTATTATCGATTATTCCTATCCCCTCTCTGTGGGGCCCTGGCCCTCTCGCTTATCTTCTACTTCTATTATCTGGTTACTAGTTAATATATTATTTACCGGGCTGGGACCACTTAAACGGCCACCTAATATCGACTACAATAAATTCTAGTATTTCGGCTAATACGGGGTAACCTAATAGGGAGGGATCCATAATAAAGCTCCACACAAGACGCCGAACCAAGAAAGTCGAGTGCGAATGCGGAGCTTTAAGGCCCATATTAAGATCTATAAATCTACGCCCTTCCTGGTAATTAAAAATAGCCCCATAACGTCCAGAGTTATCTATTCTTCTATTTATATAAAAATCGTTAACCAATAAGCGAATTCCAAGTCGAGAAGAAAGCTAGCGAGGACAGTATTCACGTTAAATACCTAGAAGATACTGTTCCTCCGCTAGCAAAGAAAGATCTAAGACGGTCGGTAGCTCTCAGAATAGCCTTATGGTACCAACTAACAAGCTAATAGCGTCTACCGAAAGATTGACCGTCGTATCCTTCCGTTTATGGCGCTTATATACCTTACCTGCTTCCTTGATCGGTCTAATATAGGTAAATAGATAATTCTATCTGGACATAAGTGAAGCTAATATATGATAGCCAATGCCAAAGTCTTAAATAAAGATACGTCCGACAATATTATGTATTCAGTTAATATATCGGAGCATCAGTACCGGGTAGCGCTTATGCTTTTCCTGGTAGCATACTATGTATTTAAAGCACCGAGCAATCTCGCCCTAAAGGTCTTCTCTCCTCTAGTGTAAGAAAACCCATATCCAGGCTTAATTGAAGTTATACTAAGGCATAACGGGGATTGTGGCAGATAGCTAGCGTTTTTGGTTGCTTCTTTCGGTGCAATATATGCTAGGATAGCCGGAGCCCCAAATGTTCAAACTTTAATAGCACTTCGAGCTATCTTAGGAATGGCAGAAGCTGGTGTCTTCCCGGGTATAGTATTCTACCTTAGCTTCTGGTATAGGCCTCGTGAGAGGGCTAGCCGAATTACGGTCTTTCTGGCGAGTGCCACTCTAGTAGCTACCTTTGGAGGTAAGGATCCTAATAAAACATGCGCCATATAGCTTACTAAAAAAAATCACTGTAGGCGCCATAGCCTATGGAGTTAGGCATATGAACCAGGTTGGCAATCTCAGTGCCTGGAGATAGTTATTTCTTCTTGAAGGCCTCCCATGCCTAATCCTCGCCGCGGCTGTGTTCATATAGCTACCGAAGTATCCGGAGAGTGTGTCTTGGCTAATAGATAAAGAAAAGAGTATTCTTTAAGGATCGTTTGGAGCCAATGTCTCCAGAGGGTATAGTTCTAATCTTCGCTTGATTGCAAAACACCAGAACTAACACTACTAGGGGTAATAAGTTAAACTGGGCCGATACAAAAGCAACATTGAAGGAAGTTCGTTTATGGTTGCATTACATTGTCTATTTCTGCGTCGGCATTAGTGTCTCTTTATTGTCACTATTTGCTCCTACGATCGTCCAGGAACTTAGCTATACTGGCCTCGAGGCCCAGCTGTTTACTATTCCTCTATATGCCTATGTATATATATTAACTATGGTGACAGCTTACTTATCAGATAAGTATGTGTGTCGAGGGCCTATCATCTCCGGATATTGCTTAGTTGGGCTAATTTCATTCCTTATTCCTGGTACGATGGTCCTAGTCATTCGATATTTCAAAAAGGAGCTAAAGACTAACAGAAAATAGCATATGTTCCGAGCCCCGCACTACATCTGCGTTATATAATATTGGTTTTTTTAACCTCTTCTGTCTTTGCTGTATTACCCCCTCTATATGCCTGGGTTTCGGACAACGTTCGCAGCACGACAGCTAGATCATTGGCATCCGGCTTAAATATTGTATTTATAGGACCGGGGCAGATCGTTATCGTATGGATTTACTAAAGCCAGCAGGCCCCTCGCTACCAATTAGGGCATAGGGTTAACGCTATAAGTCAGGGCCTTAGTATAGTGTTATTGTGCGCGCTTTAGTGGTACTATCGGCGGTGCAATGCACGCTTGGCGATAGGAGAGCCTCGGTGGGTTCTATAAGGGAGCCGTGTTGGAGTTGGCCTTGAGGCCGCCGGCTCTTAAATTCTATGCTTGTCAAATATTTCCCTTGAAATAGCTATTTACTCCCACCGAAACTATCTCTTTCATCATCTCTTCACAGAATAGAGGATAAAAGAGTTTGGACGCAGAAATTGTCAATACACCAAATTTTTCTAGTCCAGCGTGAATCCTTATGTAAGGCAATGAATACTGAGAAGAAAGAAGCATACATACACTTTGATTATTAGCACCACATATTAATTCAATATAGGTTTTCGCCAACAGTAATTGGCGTTTCCCAAAAAGAAGAACCACTTTTTATTTAAATCAGGATCCCTGGGTATGGGTGCGTTAGTTACAATATTGCCTACTAGTAATGGTACAAGGTACAGTTATTTCCTAGAACTAATGGGGAAAGAGAAGAAAATCTAGCCTTGCTAATCAGACCCCAGAAGGAGAGTTAAGATGTTCAGACGGCAGACGCATAAAAGTTGAATTTACTGCTTTTCCTTCAAATCAGGATAACATAGTCTGATCGCAATATTCCGTTCAATTCTCAGTTTTCCCGTCCGAGCATCGGATAGGGATCCGCACCTACATAATGAAATGGGAACGGCTCGATGGCTGTCTGGCGATGCAGACTGGACAACACACACACACACACACACTGCCTGTCTGGTGTAGAGGATGCTGGATGAGGCCGTACTGATGCCCTGTTGCGGCCGTGCGGGATAATCTTAATGCTGCATCATGGATAGAAGAAATTGGGTGAATCCTGAATGAATTGGGTAGATGACTTGTCTCCCTCTAAGTGTGTCTGGAGATGTACTATGCACTGCAGACATTAAATCATGCCTGAGGCCACACATAGGCTCATTATGTCACCAATTCTCCCACTACAATAACTATATAAACCGCCCAAACCAACGGAAAGTCGGGAAGTAAATAAAGCTCTATAGAATTGGAGGAGCCTTTCGAGGGTAGGATACTACTCGGACTTTGAAGCGGGGGAATTTTGGTGATCTGGGGATACATATTCGGCGATTGGGACTCATAGCCAATACATACGGCTTTACATCAACCGCGTCGGGCTTAAGGGGGGGAGAGGGTAGAAGGTTAATAGACCACCCCATAATGATAACTTTCTTTTGACTCGGAAAAATGCCTTATAACAGACGATAGGACGGATGAAACTATTACTAATTAAAGATTATTCGAAGATAAACAACCTTTAACTTAGCTTCTTTGTTTAAAAATTGTGAGAGATGCCTCCCAACACTATGCGCGCAGTCGTTCTTAAGGGTGACTATAAGGTTTGATTTTCCTTATTTGTTCTACTTTCTGAAATCATAACATTGCTCTAACGTTTTCGCTAGGTCGAAGTGGAAGACCGCCCGTATCCTAAACTCTTTCACTCTACCGATACGATTCTCAAAGTTACGTCGACGGCGCTCTGTGGCAGTGATCTGCACTTCTACCGCGGTTATCTGAAAGCACCACCGGGCTTTATCTGCGGCTATGAGTTTGTTGGGGATATCGTGGAAAAGGGAGATAATATGAAGAATTTTAACGTCGGTGACAAGGTCCGTATTATCCGCGAACTGTTGATCGGCTATAGCTATCCTAATCTACTATATTATAAGAAGAAGCGACGAAAGAAGCAAATTTCATACTGATAACTAAATCTATATAGGTCGTGGTTCCCTTTTATATAGCCTGCGGGGACTGCTACTACTATATACGTAGAGAGGCCTCTCGCTGCACCAAGGGCGAGTTGTTCGGCAATTCCGTTCCAGATAATATAATCGATGGCGGCCAAGCTAAGTATATCCGGTGTCCACTCGCCGACATAACTTTTGTCTATGCACTAAAGGATATTCCCGAGGAGATACTTGTCCTTATAGCGGACATATTCCCCACAGGTTACTTCGCCGTATCTCGCTTTCTGAAAGACCTCGAGATACGGGATCGCAAGAATTTCACGGTCGCTTGCGTGGGGTGCGGCCCTGTTAGTATTTATGCAATTACCTGCGCACTTACTATGGTTAACAAGGTCTATGCTATTGACACCATTCCCGAACGTCTGGAGCAAGCTGCAAAGATTGGGGCTATACCGATTAATCTCAATGATGATCCAGTGCAGAAGATTAAGGATGCTACAGATAGACGAGGTGCGGATGTCGTTCTGGAGGTTGTTAGCCATGCAGACGTATTTCAGCTATTATTTGATCTTATTCGACCTTAGGGCAAGATTAGCAGTGTCGGGGTACATACTGAGAATATTCCCGTTTCTGGTTTATAGCTCTACGGAAAGAATATGACGATTGAATTTAGAAGATGCCCCGTAAGAAGTATCTTCGAGGACGCACTCGCAATTCTTATTCAAGAGCAGAAGAAATTAGTATTCCTGTGCGAGAAGATAATAGGCCTAGAGGAAGCGCCAAAAGCGTATAAAGAGTTTAAGTCCAGAAAGTGGCACAAAATTATTTTTAAGATAGATAGTACTACGACAGGAAAGATAATCGAGGCCCTAATATAAGGGAGAAGGGTTAAATAGCAAATAGTCCCGATTTGAAAGGTCCTATACTTATTGGAACCTTATAGTGTTTTGTCTATTTTCTTTTTCTTTTTATCTATTTATTCCCACTTTCTTTTCTCGTTTAAAACTAGAGATTTCGATTTCTATCTTTATTTCGCTCCTAATCCCTTTCCTTCTTTCGTTATTGTGTTATTTTTTCTGCCTGAGAACTTACCACAACCTAGTCTATTATAATCTGCTAGCCTAACTTCAAGTTTCAACCCAGCACAAATATCGCATTATTAAAATACAAGCTACACTTATATATAGTGTAATATCTAAATATCGTCTAAGGACCTACTATGTAACTTACTGAATATATCTAGCTCTTATAGGGACAGGTCTGCCTTAGCTAACGAGCAATACTTGGCATTAACCTGAATACTAATGCATATTTGTTATATCACAAAATAATCTATATGTGGTGCAGAAGGATACTCTTCGGCTCCTATTAACCCGCCTCTGAATACGAGAGTCCTTACTCTACTTATAGTACGGCACAGAGCAGATCTTCGAAGCTATTCATAGACTATGGCCACGGAAGGTCCGTGAAAATAGACTCCTCCAATATGAGATTAGCAGTAGGAAACTGGGGAGGATTATTAAAGTCACCACCGATAGGAGAAGGCTCTACGGGGCTCGGTTATATAGTTTGAACCGGGGTTAAGACATAGCCGCCGGGCCTCTCGTCTATCGAGGCCTCACTATTATATATATATAGCCGTCTTGCGGTTTCATCGTTAAGGGCTTGAAAGAAAAGATATAGTTAAACACCCCAGACCGTTACCTGCCATGTTTTCTGTAACTCGTGAAGTGTAATAAGATATATTCGGGCCCGATTCTCAGTAACATCCCGAGGGGTACCGGCAGAACGGCGAAGATAAATAATATAAATACATAGCGCGTTAAATAAACTATTTATAAGATAGATATCGCTATGCCGCATAAGATCTCGCGAGAGCAGACTTTTAACCAGGTGACTGATCCTATACGCTGCGTGAAAGGCCACGACTCCTTCCCTATCTTCCTCTCTCGAGGCGCTACGAAGATATATATTTCTATAAAGAAGTATAAGGGTATTATTAAATATAAGATATAGTATAGCCGTATATAGGTCGAGCTTTTTATTAAAGCGTATACAGGAGCTTATATAATCTGGTAGGTTCCGCTCCCACTCAAAAAACTTATCCCTAAGGTTTGACCGTGCCGTCGAGTTGCTTAGAGTTTGCTTAGGCGAGTATTCTATATCTATAACTTCGCTGAGGAGTTACGCAAGCTTCGATATTTCAGTAATATAAGCCGGTTGTTCAGGTGTTTGCCAAGGAACAATCTGCTATCCTAGGTTCGGCGAGCTGGCTTCTCCTAGGTCCGAGGGATGCAGCGGTTCAATATCGTAGTCGTCGTCCCTAATACGGTTTGGAAGGCCCAGAGTAGCAGAGGCCTGACGGTCTCGAGTATAGATCGACCACTAGATATAGCGGCGTAGCTTTGCCTGTGCTAGGCTTAACCCCGCCAGGCATCGATTTATAGCTTTGGACTAGGCAAGGTTAATAGAGATACCTAGCCAGTGACGGGTGTGTTTCCTAAGCAGCTAGCCAGATCGCCAAAAGCTTATTAAAAACGCGGCCTGAATTATGGTTATTTTTTCGGTCTCGTAGTCCACGTCATATATTTCCTTAGCCCTCGTGTAGAATACGTAGCGAGCCTCCAGTCGACTGCCTAGCCCGGCATCCTGTAATAATTACTTGTCGCAGTGGGCAGCTGCGACGGAAAATGCAGTATTACAGAGTAACGGCGACAATTCGTTTGCCGCATACTTTGCCAGAACGTTTACCTGGTTCACAATAGGAAAGTAGGGATGAAACCACTAAAAATAAGCAGCCCATAGTATTTGGCCGGTGGCGACCGCGGGGAGGTCGAACACCCCTTCACTCCTAAGATACCGAATACGCCGTTCTCGGCGTTCTTGCTCCCACCCAAGTATATAGGGTGCTAACCGCTAGGTCTTAATAACCGGATACTGCAACCGAGAGTTTTCTTTAGGAGACGGGCGATTGACCGGGCGTTGTGATTTTGGTACATAAACTGTAAGGTCGCCGACTCCCCCATGAAAAGCACTTCCTCCTTATCGTTCCCCTCCGGAGGGGAAGCGGGAGGGGCATCCTACGGTAATAGCGTCGCCTATGACCTAGCTACTGGAGCTAGGCGCGGCGTAGCAGATACACACTCTAACACAGTGGGTGCATAGGAGGGATCGGATACGATATCGGCCCGTAGCGGGGAGTCAATCCCGGTGCGCTTAGGAACTCTCCGAAGATACTTCCCTCGCCGGGACTCGAGCACTTCACACCGCGCGTTCGCCTTAGTGTAGTTATCGCAGGGGAGGCTCTCCATAACGTTACACTTTACCCGCCGCGTATTATAGCGGCGGTATGCACGCTTGGCCCTATAGCGCGGAGGCGAGGATAGGCTATCCATAGTGACGAGGGTCTGCGAAACGAGATTATTAAAGTCCGCCTCCGCGGGCGAGTCTGCAGACCCTCGTTATATGGCTTAGGGTACGCCGAGCGGGGAGGCTAGGGAAGCTCGTTTGATTCCCACGGAGTCTTCCGTAGGACCTAGTAAAACCCAGACTAAACCTAGCCAGTCGGGGTTAGGTTTTAGGGTTTGGGACTAGATCTCCGAGCTACCTAGTACTAGGTCTGGGTCGGGCCTAGCCCCTACGTTTGCTTACAAAACATTATAAACCTACTAAGGATTCGTGTCGTATGGTTTATGCAATTTATAGGTATAATTTTGAGTATTTTCTTTACATTCAAGCCTCGATTAAATAAAATTATAAATTATATTCATAACCGAGACCTTCGACCTAAACTGAGTCGTGCGGAGGTCTATTCCTACGTTACTACCGCGCGGGTAGTCTACACGCCGAGCAACGACACGGTAGGACTGTGCGAGCTCTACCAGATGTTCGGCTTACCCGACCCGGCCGAGGCGCGTATTAATAATTACCGATCTATAGAGAAGAGAAAGATTCCGTACGGAGGGACGAAGAGAAAAGGGAGGATCCGAGCGCCCTAACTAACGGTGAATTGCCCTATCTATATAATTCGATAGAACTTCTATAGACAGCTGTCAGCATATTTAAGGACTGTCAGCATATTTAAGGACTGTCAGCATTACCTTTGTCAGCATTACCTTTGTCAGCATTATCAAGGACTGTCAGCATTACCTTTAGTCATCCAAGAAGACTATGATTTTTATAATTGGTCAGGTAAATACGAAAAGCCACCTAATTATAATAGGTCTATTAAAAGGTGTTCTATGGATAGACTATTAATGATGCCTTAATATAGGTCTAGACTATTGATGATGCCTTGACAATAGGTCTAGACTATTAATGATGCCTTGACAACTAAAAATGATGCCTAGACTATAATTGATTTCAAAGCAAGACAGGCCTAGACTTAAAATAATGCAAGTCTAATATAGGCCTAGAATATTGTTGATTGGATATAAATATGTCCGCAATTCTCTACAAGAAAAAAATAATTCTTCTTCAATCATCATATCATACCCTAAGGTTTCCTATTAAGGAAATATTCTTTTATTCATCGAAGGATAAAAGACTTGATCTCTTATTGGATCTCCCACTGGATCTCCCACAACAGCAGTGGCGCATATTGCTAGGCCCCGAACACGTCGCGCTCGCCGATACTACCCTACTTCTAGGGGCGTTTAAACGTACACTTCTAGCCCAGCGCGGGCTCGTAAAATATCAAAACTAAGATATCTGTATCCTCTAACTAATACAACTTTTTTACCGTCTCTCGGTTCAACACGTCGCTACGGAGAACCCACAGGTAGTCTTATTTCTTCTCGAAGAGAATATCTAACGTGATTTCGAAGGGGCCGGAGTTCTTCGAGCGGATAACCGAGGCTAGGCTCGCGATATAGGTGGCCGTAGGCGAGCCATCCGTCGCCTATCCCGTTATCTTAGGGTGGATTACGGCCCGGCTATTCTGTCGTAGGGGTGGTCGAGGGATGTTGAGCTGCGCAGACCGGTTAGAGCTACCTAGTCTCCCTATATAGACTGTAGAGATTGGGAAGAGGGAGAGAGGGTCGTCCACGGCCATAAGGTAGTAGATAGAGAACTCAAACACCGGCCCGACGGACTGCTCGAGGGGCGTCAGGGGCGAGGCAAAGTTACCCGCGGTCGCTAGCTAGCCCTTATACGCGCCGTGCAGCACCATCGTCCGGGCGAATCCCGCTACTAAGTCGGCTAGTAATTAAGAATCGGCCACGACCTCGCCGAGAAGACCGACCTCGTGGGGGACTTACGTCGACGGCTCCCGGCGGCCCATTACCGCATCCTGGCCGTACACGTAGAAGATTAAGTGATAAGGCTACGGGAATACAGACCGGGTAAGTGCCTCCACCGACTTAAGGAACTCGTTAAGCCTATAGATAAGGATAGGATCCCGGATCCCCCCCGATAAATGAGGTGCGGTACCCCAGCTTCCGCACGCCTTCGAGCTTCACTTAATATTCCGCGCTAGGGATAAACCGCGAACCCTAGACAGAGACGGTCCGGCCATCCGTCTGCTACGTGTATTAGGCCCGGTCGAGATATAAGACCCCTCCCGGCCCGGGAAGCTAATCCGGACGCGTTTTCTCGTATATAGTGTGAGCAGTAACGGATAGCGGAGTGCACCGGTGACCGGGGTCGACCGGCGTCAAATTAAATCGGTCGTGATATATCGTGGCGAGGATTGAGTGGCCCTTAGGAGTGGTATATAGTCCTCCATATTCGATAATCTTGCCAATATACTAGGCGCTATATATATCGACTCCATTATGTGCGCTGAAGGTAGCAAACGGTGCCGGATTATAAGAGCGGCCGGCCACGATAATATCGGGGTCGCCTTTTAACGCTTCGAGGAACGGCTCGATGCCCATTTACGCGACGATTGTTTTAGCGTCGGCGATATCCTCTGCCGTCAGCTCGGGGCCGGGTCCGTATAACGCAGTCTTGCCTGCGAGAAGTTGCTTACGCATAAAATCCCGATTGTCCTGGAATTTGATCATCGAGACTTTAAAGGAGAACCTAGCTTCTTCGCTTATCTCCTGGATTAATTCCACGGTATAATCTACGTACGAGTTAGTTCCGGCCCCGCGGGCGGAGCTAATAAGCAATTTGATTCCAAAGGCCGCGTACGCGCGAAGAATTAGCCCTAGGTCACGTCGATAGGAGCTCGTCGAGCATAGAGGTCTTTCCGGTCCCGAGCATATAAGGACCCGGATCCGTCGAGCCGCCGTCGAGGATAATCGCGTCCGGTTTGGTATCAAAGATAGTTCTCTAAAACTGTTCTGGGTCATATCCGTAGCCTAGGATAGGCAAAGTAGTGAATATCTTCACGCTATGTATAGTGGAGAAGCCTACGGGGGCGTTAGAGAACAAATAGTAGGGGGATAATATGACGTCGGATTTACCTAACCTAGTAATTTTATATTAGTGGATTATCGCGGCTTCGGACGCCCTTTTCTTATAAAGGTTTTAGTTCATCGTGGTTGGTATAGGGTCGTGGTGCGAGAGTTCCCTCCCGGTATTCTAACTCCGACCCTTAGGCCTTAATGCTAGTAGGAGCTTATAGTAGCCGATACGACTAGCGCTGCCCGATAACTGGGGTGTCTAGGCCTTAGGCAGATCTATAGGCTAGAAGTTTATCTCCTAGTCGGGGCTGTCGGCTATATAGGTGGATAGTGACCAGCCCGGTAACTTATAGGGCCACTAAGAGGGAAGACAAAATAGGCCTGTGCATAAAGCCTTTACCCACCTTAGACATAATGGGACAGATAGAAGAGATATTAGTTGGATAAGCTACCAGCGAGAAATAGCGATATAGAAACCCTAAAATGAGAAAGGAGGGATATAAGAAAGTAAGCTATCCGGGGAATAAGAGGTAAGATATTTAGCTTTGTCGGATATAGTTTTCTAGCGAACCCTTGCCACCCCTTCTATTCTTAGCGTCTTCCTCGTTATAGCGGTAAATCCTCTATTTAAATTAAATAACCCCGAGCTTTTGCGCCAAAGCTCCTATGTCTATGGAGTCTGGGTTAAAGCAACATCGGGGAAACGTTTCAACGTCATTGATCCAGGCTCGGACCGGGCTTTCGCGTCCTGCCCTGACAATGGACCCGAAGATGTTGAATCCGCCGTGTCTTCCTTATACACCGCATTCCTATCCTATAGCATTCTTAATCCGCGCCGACGTACCGAGCTGCTTTTAAAATAGCACAATCTGATCGCAGAAGCGAGAGACGATCTAGTGCAGATCCTCACTTACGAAACTGGGAAATCACTAGCTGAAGCTCACGGTAAGCTAGACTACTCAATAGGGTTCACCTAGTGGTTTGCCGGAGAGGCTAAGAGAATCTAAGGATCGATCAGTATTCCCTCGGCACCGAACCAAAGGATCTTTGTGATTAAACAACCTATCGGTCCCGCGGTGGCTCTTATGCCCTAGAACTTCCCTATTGCGACAATCCTCCGCAAGGCTAGGGCTACTTTAGCGGCTGGGTGTACTATAATTGCAAAGCCCTCACCTAAAACACCCCTTACCTGCTTAGCACTTACCTACCTTACTAGTAAAGCAGGCTTCCCACCTAGTGTGTTTAACGTCTTGACTATGTCACTCGAGAATACCCCGTCGCTCTCGGAGGCCTTAATTGCTTACCCTCGGACTAAAAAGATCACGTTTACTGGATCCACCCGAGTGGGTAAGCTAATCGCTCGATTATACGCGGTGGGCCTCAAAAAGTGCACCCTGGAACTCGGTGGTAATTGCCCTTTTATTATCTTCGATGATGCGGACATCGACCAGGCGCTCGCCTAACTATTATTATTGAAATAGAGACACGCCGGCCAGGCATATATCACCGCCAATAGGGTCTATATTCAAAAGGGGATCCATAATAAGTTTGTTCAGTTATTGGTGAAGAAGACAAAGCAGCTCGTGATTGGACATAGCACAGATACGAGGACAACCCTGGGCCCGGTCACCACGCCTAGAAGCCTGGACAAGGTCGCCGAGCAGGTTAAAGATATAGTTCGTCGCGGGGCTAAGCTAGCCTTTGGGACAGGCAAGCCGCACCAAAACGCGATATTTGCAGAGGGAAGTGGACTTAGCCACGGAGTCGGTGGATATTTTATAAGGCCGACTATCTTAACGAATATGACACACGATTCGTCAATTAGCCAAGAAGAAATATTCGGCCCCGTGTGCGCGGTTTTCCAGTTTGAAACGGAGGAAGAGGTCACCAAATGGGCGAACGATACCAGTATAGGGCTTAGTTAGTATTGATTCAGACCCTGGGCCCTTGGTGCACGACTAACGACTGCTTCCTAGTATCTTACGCTTTCACCAAAGACGTTGATAGAATGTGGAGAATGTTTAAGAATCTTAAGGCGGGTATCGTTAGTCTCAATACAGGAAACAGTTCGGCTGCTAAGAGCCCCTTTGGTAGGATCAAAGAGTCTGGTTATAGTAAGGAGAGTGGAAAGGATGTGGCTATGAAAGAATATCTGATCGAGAAGACTGGAACGTTTACCATCGAGAACCAGTACTAGGTGATTAAGGTAGCAATAGGAAAAAAGCACACGGCTGTGCTTATATTTGAGCAGTCTTAGATCGGCATCTCTATACGAAGGAAAACTTTTTGTGGTCGGCTAAAGGGTAGAGGAATATATGTATTTATTCGTATTATATCTGTTCACGATATCAATATCTTATCGGTAGCATTAAGTCCGCTACCTATATACCCTAGAATATAATGCTTATGTCTTCTATCCGAGTGCCTTAGGAAGGTATAAGTAAGATCTCGCCATCGATTGTGTCGTGAGTTCTGTAAGTTGGCGAGTCAGAGAGGCTCTTCATAACAAACTCCACTTAGGAGACCTTTATGATACGATCTATGTGTTTGGCCAGCTGTAATTCTTTCTAGCTAAGTACGAAAAAATTCAGATATACGATATGGGAACCGTACTTTTTAGTTAGTCTAGGTAGGCTTTAGAGCTTTTAACTAGCGGCCACCCTGGCTTAGTAACTATAAGGGTCCTCGGTCTTCTGACTACGGTCTATATGGGTCATAGGTATTTTAATCTAGATATTAAGTGCATTATTCATCGCCTACCACCGAATCGAAGGCCACTGCGGGGACCCACCCTTCAGCTAATAAGCCAATAATACCAGCCCTCACCGGGATAGCGTGGGTATCTGGCTGAGAACCGTCGTGCGCAATTCCTAGTCGCCTCTAGACTATCCTAAGACTGGATTAAGCCTAAAACGATTGGACTAGGAGAGAAGTAGTACAAGAGCCAGCTCATATAACGTTTCCCTTTCTATGTCGCCGGTGCTCTTCGGTGGGACGTACTGTGACTAATTTTCTCTCAAGAGGATTCTCCCATAACTAGAGACCTCTTTTGAGAGGTCTCTTGAGAGGTCTCTTATCTCTCGACCTTCCAAGTGACGCTCAATCTTAAAACGAGCTATCTGAAAATAGTCTGTTATCAACTTCCTTTCATGTTACCACTTCCAGGATACTCTACATAGCTCTATCATAGTGACAAAAGCAGTCTCTCATCCCAGTACCACTCCTATTAGATTTCTCTCGGGGTGCCATACTTCTTATCTATAGTACGCTCTTATTTTAAGCCACATAGGTCTACGTATGTCTTAAGATAGGTATCTTATAAGCGCCTAGGATCCCTTCCCAGTAAATTATAAAGATCTAGTCCCCCTTTTCGTCCGCTTAGTCGGAGAAATAACGGTATCGGACCGCCTCTAAGGCGGAGAAAGGATAAGAGCGAACCTCCTAGGGTACCACCTCTCGTTCCCCGGAGCTATATAGTTCACTCTAGGAATTATGATTCCTACTCTAGGAATTATAATTCCTACTCTAGGAGCAATCAGTAGCGTGCCTAGGGGCGGGCTATGCCATAGATTATGGGGTCGAATATAGCCCTAGGAACGTAAGGGTCCTACTTATGGGATCTTAAATAGGTAATCAATATCAGATATATAAATTAGAATACGGGCAATATAACTAATTTCTTTATATATAGTGATTTATCTTTACGTTTACCTTATTACAGAAATATGATCTGATCGTTACAATAATTTGGATATATCTATTGCAGGATTACCCCCATAACTGGATCAATCAATCGATCTAGCCTATCATAGGAAATACCACGGTTTAAGCGCATATAGATATTCCCACGAATCAACTGAGCGTAGGATTCTATCTATAGACTTTCTAATAATCATTATAATCGTGGTTAGTCTAGAAGCAACGAGGAAACGTAGTCTTTCGTAGGATATAGGATTTCTAGCGATCATTATAATCGTGCGGTTAGTCTAGGAGCAACGGGGAAACGTGGTACTTCCGAGATTTAAAATTTCCAGGCCATCACAATTACATAGAAGGCTTAGGAGTAGAAACTGTAGATTGTCTACGATCCCGCAGGAGTGGCAGAGTAGGGACACACTGGAGAGTAGGGACGCACTGTCCAGTAGAGACGCACTGGATAGTAGGGACGCACTAGATAGTAGGGACGCACTAGAGAGTAGGGACGCACTGGAGCTGTTTGGGTGGGGCAATAAGCGCGACACAAGTTTTAGTGCAGGGTCCCCTATCGTAGCCCCCTTCGGAGCCAATAAGTCCTAGTCCTCCGAATTTTAAATTTTTAATAGGGTATACCGCTCACGGATACGCATATAGTGTTACGGGAGCACGCACGACGGGCCAATAAGCGGGCGAAGAATTAGGATAAGCACCTCATACTACTTAAGCATAGAGTATAGGGACTAGTACGACATTTTTTTGTTCCTTTAACCGTAGTCCACTAATATAGAAAAGTAATATTTTAGATAATAATATGCTAAAGATTACGCTCGTAATTACTTACCAAAAGTTTAATATCGGAATAGCACCGAACAAGCAGTATTATTATTTATTTATATATAGAGTGGTCATCATTGCGTAAACTGTGATATCATATCTTCCTCCGTTTCCCCTTCTCTTCACTATCCGTCTCATAGCCACCCACACCGCTCCCAGCCACCCAACACGGGTACTAAATATATAAGACAAAATTAGTGAATTTCAACAGAACCTTAAATACATACTCGAGTTATATATCCCATCTTCTAAATGCCTAGCTCTGGCTGCAGAATACGAAGGCTATACGAGTTTGAGCAAACCTCCTATAAGCAATAATTCACAGCTTAGTGGACATCCGTCACAGACAAAGCAGAACTGTTTGGGAACCGGCGATCGCTCATTTACTTAGTAAACTACCCTTTGTCCGAAGAAATTGTTTAGGATAAAGTTCCAATTAACGAGAATAGATAAGTTAGTGCAATTTGTCTTAACTCGGTTTTAAATTTGCAACCCATCCACCCACTCCTATATCACCACATATTTCATGCCTAGTATCTTGAAGAATAGTTTAACAACAAAAATAACTAACCGTTATGCCAACAGTCTTTAGTGCAATTAAGTTGCGCAGCATATATAGTATAAAAGTATTCGTAAACTTACTCCTTCCAATCCTTTCCGCAGCCAAAAATCTTCGCTTTTTATCGCTCCCGATCCACGCTAGTATAGCTGCGCTACTCCAAAACCAGGAGTCGGTTATCTTAAAAGGGGACTAGATATGCGGGAAGTATATGACGAGCCAGTCAGTCTCAATAATTTAATACTTGTGCGGTATCCTGTTCCCTCCGATCAGCTAGGTATCGGAAAGAGGACAGGCAGTTATTAGCTTCAGCAATTGAATATTAATGGATACTAATTAGATTATTAGGGCATTATTAATCTTTTGCAGCATTCACCGGGTCTCAAGTGCCTTGAGCTTTGTGGCCTTAAATTATGCGACCCTGAAGCCTCAACCTGCAGATCAAAAGTGGAGGGAATCCTCGGAGCTCTCAACTCATCCAGCCATACCCTCGCAAACCTCTTTTTGGACGTTCGCGGTATTCAGCTTATCGATAGTGAGAATCCTAAGACCCTGTCATTTGAAAAATTTTGCGTTCTCGAAAATTTGCTGGTACACGAAGACTTGGCCGAAAATATCAAATTCCCTGCCTCTTTGGTTCATCTCATGCTTTACGATTTTGAGAAGCAACCAAAGGCCCCCTTTTTTGGCAACCGCGCCTACCAAGACCTCCCACCAAACATAAAGACCATTTTTAGCTATAGCAGAGAACCAGGCAACCTGCAGCAGAAGCTCAAAGAATTCAATCCTCCCGGAATCAAGATTTCCTTTGAGCTCTTCGATGACAGTCTACCGACAGGCTCTTTCAGAAAACCGAATGCTCCCTCATATTAGCATTTGAATCAAACGGCTAACCGGTTTCGCGGGTGAGTGATCATCGGCCGAGAACTATAACTATGTCACTGAGGAACAAAAATTTGAGGGCTGGAACTTGTGCAGCTTCTATAGGGTATACATTTTGAATAAGATGTTTTCAGGTGTATCTGTTTATAACGTATTTTACCCCTTCACCGCCATTACCCCCTCGCCGCCACCCCATTCTAGGGGCTGGCTAATGAAGCTAGATTAAATTCACGTTTTAGTTTGTGCTAGCGAGATAGATAGATCAGTCTTGAAGCTATAGATATATCAAAAAAATTCCTCTTACTTCTCAGCCTTTTAGAACAGGGAAATTGATAGAAGACATTGTATCGGATTTTACGTAAGTCCGCTTGCGCTTTATAAGTCGTTCCGAGCCCAGCTAAAAATAGAGCTTTAACAAGTACTTTATACTCATTTACACAAGAGAATCTTGGAAACCAAAGCGAGCCAGAAGTGGTGGTAGTGGTAGCAGCTCCATTGCGGTTAGGTCATACACTTGAGATTGCAGGGCTATAGTATGGGAAACATAATCTTCACGCACAGATACAGCCTCGACCTATTGTCTATAGATAGCTCGTAGCCCTGCTTTTGCTTCTTTAAGAGCATTTAAAATTCCCACGTCAGCTAGAGCATAGAGACTGGCTTCCTCCAAGATATATTGTGCTAAGACCCAATTTTCTAGCCCCGCCTCTGCCAGGCTGAGCCTATACTTTGCCTTTGCTGTCTGCTGCGGCGTTATAGCAGGTACTTCTAATACTTATGAGGCGGACTATTTCGCGTGATCCCAAAGTTTAAGCCGAAGGTACATAAGCGCCACATTTGAGTGAAGAGCAATGCGTAGTTTAGGGTTATCGGCAAGATTATTAAGGCGAGTTAAACACTTAGAGTAAAACTTGATAGCTTCCTGGAATTCGCCGCGTCTGGCAGAGTCGTTTCCACACGTCTTTAGGGTGAGAAGCTCTCTCACGATATCATCGGGAAATTAGCGGCATAGTGGGCACCGTCTATCTTAGGCAAGCTATATTAAAATGTACCCTTTATGGTACGAATGGCTGCATAGAAGTATAATAGCGGCCGATTCGGAGCATATTAAGTCGCTACACACTATGTAACTGTTACCCCTTGGAGGCATAGTATTTTTTAAGTTCTGGGATATCGGATAATGGGGTTTAAACTTGTATCTATGCTCTCCCCAGGCAGTCAATTTA